CCAGACGGCTGGTGGTTCAAACCCACCAGCCACTCCTCGGAAGGAAGGTTGGGCAATCCTACTTCCGTAGTGATACTGCCTCGGAAACCCAAGGATGGGTCGCTATGAGTCGGGGCGACTCGACGGCACATAACAACAACAACAACAATCTGATGAGAGAAAATGGCATCTCCTGGTTCTTTTTGCATTTCTCTACTTAGGAGTGAGACTGAGTCATTTTGTAATTTGATTGAATCCATGTGGATTTGTAAATGGTAAGGTCCTTTGTGTTTCTTTTCTTAGTAAACTACATGTTAATATCCATTGTCTCTTTCTTACTGGTTTGTAGGAGCTTTTTAAAGAAGGGAAAAAAGGAAATTAGCCCTATATATTGCCATATTTGTTGCAGATATTTTTCCAGTTCTGTTATTGCTATCTCTATTTTGTTAGGGAATCTTACTAAATTTCTAATTTTTATGTAGCAAAATTTTTCCTTAATAACTTCTGTTAAACTTGAATGAGACTTTCTCAATTGCAATGGAACTTTATTTAAGTTAAACTTATTTTAGATTTACCACCCTATAATTTATAAATGAAATTTACCCTGTAGTTCAAGATAACTATTTATAGCAGAAAATATTAATGTCATATATATGTAGTATTGAAAGAGCCCTGGTGGCTCACTAGTTAAGTGCTCAGCTGCTAACTGGAGGATTGGCCACATGTCAGGAGGAAGATGAGGCAATCTGCTTCTGTAAAGATTATAGCCTTGGAAATTCTGTGGGGTAGTTCTACTTTGTCCTGTAGGGTTGCTGTGAGTTGGAATCAACTCTATGACAACATGTTTATGTAGTATTATAATTCATGGCAATGTATTTTCTTTATGTAGATCAAGCTTCTGAAATTCAGGTGACTATGATGCTCACTGAAAGTTGTAAGCTGCGAGGTCTTCATCATAGGTAAGAAAGAGGGAACCATGGTAACATTTAATGCTTCATTCTTATTTTAAGAACATTGTGATGATTTCTGAATTGAAAGCATTTTGGAATAGTTTAATTTTTTTCCTCTTAATTTAAAAGTGAAGTGCATTCTCATTGCACAAAATTTTAAAACATAGTAAGCTCTAAAGAAGAAAATAAAGAACAATGTGTGAGCCCACATCTGGATAACCATAGCTAAGCTTTCTAGAAATAATTTGTGTATAGAGAGAAGAGGCAAAAGTTTTTAACACTAATATGTAGTAGTAACCTAGTACTTAGATACCTGGTCAGAATTCTTACCTTGGTGAAAGGTCTGTCCCCCACTTCAGCACTGGAAATGGGCTGCTAGGATAAATACGGGCAAAACTAGTATTTTCCCAAGAAATGGTATTATGTCCACTGTAGCCTTTGAAAGATTCTTCGGCTGAAAAAATTCAGAACAAGCATTTGCAGACATTCTTTCATGAATCTTTAATGTAGGGTTTTCCAGTATCTTACCAGGATGAATTAGTAGCCCCAGGACATCCTCTGGCAATGGGGTGAAATGACATACTGAATTGGGGTTATGTGATACTGGACATTCATTGTTTGGGGAAAATTTTCTAAATGCAAATTATTGCTCATTCATGCTTAAGTGTTCTTCTTGGCAATTAAATGATACCAAGACTTCTGGTTTACAGTGAGCAAAACATGTTGTCAGTGTGTAGAAAGTATTTTGTTCATCACATTCTTTCACTGTAGCAGTTCTCTTATTTTTTAAGAGGCCCAAGGCCTATATAATACATTTCTTTTTGACCTCTGATATCTAGCCTGTTCATGGCTGTGGGTATGTGTTTGTTTCTTTTCTGATTCTAATTCATTAAGTGCCCATTTTGTGCTGGGGACTCTGCCAGACATGGGGAGTAAAAATGAAGCCATGGTCTTTAGAAGTTGTGTAGAATTTATAAGCAAACTCAATATACTCATTAATAAATGACACCTGGTTTCAGGTTGTATTACCTTTTTGTACTGGTTGTGCTTTGTAATTTGGTATGTTTACTCCGTGTTTTAACATTCCACGATTAATGATTATAATGGTGCTGAAATGTTTTAAAGCATTCTAAAATCCTTTCTTTTCACTCTTTTCCACATTGGCATTTGTGAGAATAACTAATTTTTATTTTAAGTAGAAATAGTTGAAAAATAAGACAGATACCATTCTATTTTAATTATATTAGAAGTGCTTCTTACCAGCATTGTCTGTTGAGCTGCTGTTACTTGTAGTTTGACTTCCATTGGCCCCCGTATGCTTGATGATGGGCAGTTCTTAGGCTGAATGCCTTACAGCTCTTTCCTGCAGCTGTACTCTGCAAGATTGAGAATTGAGTGCAATTTTTTAGTGCAATTTTTTAGAAGGACAGAACCTGTCCTTCCTCTGCAGCACCTCCTTCTGCTCTCATCCACTCTTCTTATAGATTACAGACCTTCCTTTCTATCTTTCTTCCTTTATAAAATGGGCAGAATGAAGAGCAATCCTTTATACTTTGAAAGATTTTCATGTAGCTTCTTGCCTTTCCCTGAGGATTTTTAATCCTCAGGTAGTAGGATAAACTGTTTGACTTCATACAGCAAACTCATTGTGCCTGGATAAAATGCCTTTAATCCTGCCAAATGAGTATCAGTCACAAGAAAAAAACACAAACAAATAATTAATCTTTCGGAGTTGAAAAGGATGGGTAACTCTTTGTATTACTCCTGAAATCATAGTACAATCAGGTTGATCTGAATGTAAACCACCACCTGCAGTCATTTTAGTTGACATGGGCCTTGGTGTGAAAGGAGGCTCTTTAATTTCCCTTCTACTCCTCCTGCTTCCCTGGAGGAAATGTCAGTGGTCCAGGGGAAATCACAAGCCTTGTTTTGGAATCAGGTAAATATTTCAGTTTTTTTCTCCACGTACTCACCATCTTTGGCACGTTACATAATGTCTCCTTCCGTATGATTTTCCTTGCCTATGAAGTGGGTAAGGAGCTCTGGTTGGCGTAGTGCCTAAGGCATTTGACTACTCACCAGAAGGTTGGTGGTTCAAACCCACCAGCCACTCCACAGAAGGAAGACTGGACAATCTATTTCCGTAAAGATTTACCACCTCAAAAACCCAAAGGGGGTAGCTATGAGTCAGAATTGACTCGATGGCAGTGAATTTGGTTTGTTTTTCTTTTATAAAGTGGGATTAATGCTGCAAGCAGAAGCCTTACAGAGAGGTTACTTCCTACAGGCTTGTTGATACCTCATGTGCATCCTCATTTTCTCAGCTCATAGGGGTCAGTGCTTTACCTGTGTTAGTAACCCCTGCACATCAGGAGGGGAGCCCAAAGCATGGCCACTTGTGTAGTTAGTCATGTCAGGAATGTTATGAGTTGATTTAAAAAATTATACAGCTTAATTGAAGAAAATGAGGAAATACAGAAAAGTAAGGTAGAAATTATCTATAGTCCCACAACTTAAAGACAGTTAACACTTAACTCTTAACATATTTCTGCACAGTTTTATTATTTGTTCTCCTTATTTATAATTACCCTGCAAACATGTGAGTTTTGTATCTTGCTTTCCCATAGCATTAACTTTTACTCATATTCTTAACATCTCTTTGTACCTATTGTTGCATACTATACATTTATCTGTGTGTAGTCTTCCCTTACTTTTGGATGTTCAAGTTGTTTTCGAACTTTTTGCTATTAATATTACATTAACTATCCTTATTCATATAGTTTATTTATGTTTGATATTATTTGCTACTTAAATATCCTTTGAAGTAGAATTTGCTAAAGAATAGGAAAATTTTTAAGGCTATATTGTTATGTGTGTTTATCAAATATTAAATGCTTGTTTTATACACACATGCATACATATATACATACATACACACATACATATAGCAAGCATTTATATTTATGGAGCTGGGCATAAAAATAAGAGTACACAATAGTTTTGCCTTCTATGAATTTTGAGTTTAGTGGAGAAGATGATGAAATAACTAAAAAGTTATATAACCTTGGGAAAAATTAAAATTACTTCCTAGGTAGCAGTGGAAGAGATGCCATTATACAGTAGAATAAAATATGTGTTTGTATACTTTAGAAATTGAAATAGATTGTCTACTAAGTGCTTAACTTTTGCACATCATAGCAACCTTTTATGGTTTGTGGTATCTCCATGTTACAGTTACAGAAACTAAGGCCAAGAGAGAGATGGTCATACAGATTATAAACGGTAAATATGGGATTCAAAAATCTGACTCTGAATTCCATGTGAGCTGCAAAGGACTTCTTGGCTTTTGTGGTAGTTTTAGCCTCATAAACACCTTTTTTTTTGCTGCTCATGTTCTTGTCTAGTCTGGATTGAGGCCGTTTGTTTTGTGTTATTTCTTAAGTGTGACAGTGGAATAAATGGGATTTTGTCATAACAAGATCATGGTCAAGTCACTTCTTATGTGCCTATGATTACCTTTTAGAGTAAGATTTACTGTAGCCAGAGTGTGTCTTCAGGGAATTCAGTCCATAGCAAACAACTTTGAGTTTATAACTTCTCTCTATCAGAAAAGTGCATAATTGGGAAACTTTAAGTCTAGTTTAAATTATAGAACATTTATAATTTTGCATTTTAAATGTTAATTATGTTTGAGAATATTGTTTTAAGGTCTCTTTATTACTTTATTGTTGTTATTATCAGTAAACTTCTGTAGTTTTAAATTTCACTTGTCTTTCTTCTGATTTATTATTACTTCACAGAAATCTTCTTCCTATTACGCATGTGTGTATAGAAGATGGAGAAAAGCCCATGGTGATACTGCCTTACATGAATTGGGGGAATCTTAAATTGTTCTTACGGCAGTGCAAATTAGTAGAGGCAAATAATCCCCAGGTGAGAAAAATTTGCCCCAATACCAATTTACCTGTAACTTCTGATCATATCTTTTAAAGTAGATGTCAACACTGTATGGAAAATGAAATTGCTCTGTAAACTCTCACCCAAATCACAATAAAATTATAAAAATTTAACATCTAAATTTAGTAGATGTTAACAGTTTAATCTATAAACTGTTTAAAGGCCTGCAAAAAGAAACTCAAGAGGAACCAGAAGATAGTTATAACCTATTGGTTTAGAGGAAAATGAAGATAGTTTATACTGTCTGTCTTGATGCTTATGTGTTGCTGATGCTGAAGTTTTTCCTTATATTTCAATTGTTGTGTTTATTCATAATCACCTCCAAGCCCTCTGTAATATCATCTCAGTCATTTTCCTAATAACTTTTTGAAGGCACACATACTACATCTTCCTCCTAGGAAACAGACTTTACAGAACCATGTGGTCCATATTGTACCAAAAGCTGATAATGATTAGAGGTCTAGATTGTGGGAGATAATTGGGTATATTCTTAATATGCTTGGCTGTAAGACCTTAGTAATCTAAGAGGTTTTCTGTCATCACTGCTTGTACACATAGCTGTGAAGCATTTGATCAGCTTCCAAATGCTTTTATAATGGTAATGGTAGTAAATCCTAGTGGGTGTTTTATTGCTAGCTGTATCTTGTAGCCTCATTAAATTAATTTTAGGATTTAAAATAATGTACTTATTACAGTTGCTGGGACAAAATGCATTCAGAGTCTACATTGAATATTTGGCTTAACATGTATGATACGCTTTATAAACTGACAGGCTTAAAGCAGGACTTCCCAATTAGTGGTTGGAGGCTGTGGCCCATTAATATGACCTGGGGAGAATTTCGTTTCTCAGCTCATATTAATGGCATGGACCTAGAGAAGTGTATCAGTGGTGAGAGCTGTAGACTTGTATTAATTTGAAAATGGTCCCCAGGGTGTTATCTCCTAAGAAGAACTACCTTCCCCCCCCCCAAAAAAAACCAGACCAAACTCATTGCCAGTCTATTCTGACTGTAACAACACTATAGAACAGAGTAGAAGTGTCCCATAGGGTTTCCAAGGCTGTAAATCTTTACAGAAGCAGACTGCCTCATCTTACTCCCACAGAACAGCTGGTGAGTTTGAACCAATGACCTTTTGGTTAGCAGACAGTGCCCTTAACTACTGTGCTACCAGAGCTCGCTTATTTTCAAAGAACAGAACAAGTTATTTAGTAATAAACATTTGAAATTATACCTTGAGAATCCAGCATTCACGGAACAGATAATTTATTGAGCAGCTACTAGATGTACTGGATGGAGAAAACACATGGATAAGAGGAGCTAGGCAACTAAACGGTGTATTTTCTTACAGAATGGAAGGACTATAGTAGATATAGAGGGAGCTATGGGAATAGATTCCTAGTCAAAAAGGAGTTTTTTAAAAAGCGGTCTGTAGACGTAAGGAAGTATATTTGTTTGGAGTAGAAATGTGGGCTAAAATAAGTGGCAGTCATAATTTTTGTGTCAACTGTAAACATTGTCACTTTGTGTTTACCACAGGCAATTTCTCAGCAAGACTTGGTACACATGGCCATTCAGATTGCCTGTGGAATGAGCTATCTGGCCAGAAGGGAAGTCATCCACAAAGATCTGGCTGCTAGGAACTGTGTGTAGGTGCCATGAGTTCTTCATTATCATTTGATGTTTAGTGCTCCCTGGATTTGGGGTTCTTTCCATGGGATTGTGTTATATTCAAAGATAACTGGTGATCTGGTCTTTTTATTTTTTTAATGCTCTGATTGCATTTGTTGTTCATGTCTTTACTTTTCAGCATTGATGATACACTTCAAGTAAAGATCACAGACAATGCTCTGTCCAGAGACTTGTTCCCCATGGACTATCACTGTCTGGGGGACAATGAAAACAGGCCAGTTCGGTGGATGGCTCTTGAAAGTCTAGTTAATAATGAGTTCTCCAGTGCTAGTGATGTGGTAAGTACTGGGACCCCTGATAGCAATGGAATGGAGAAAAGGCTTTCTGTTTTACAATGTTTTACGTTTTTTTTAACTGTTGTTATTTGCCGTCAAGTCGGCCCCGACTCATAGCGACCCCTCCTTGGGTTTCCGAGGCAGTATCACTACGGAAGTAG